AACAATTTACTTCTTTGAATCTTGACAAGGTAAGAACCACCTCCCTCCTCTTTTAAGTTGGATTGTTGATTTTTTTTCATCTTTTTTGTGGTCGGACTTTCACTGATCTATTCAGACAAAATTCTTAGGAAGTGTTCTACTAGAAGACTATGGAAGTTGTGAGGACTTGCTTCTCGCGAAGCTGCAATTTGCCTATATTGCATTTTTGGTGTGTAGACAATGAAGACTCCTACAGCATTTTATGTTAAATAATAATCTGAAATCTTTAAGATATTTTGAACTTATGCAGATGGGGCAAGCACTTGAAGCACTTCTACAATGGAAATCCTTGGTCAGTCTTTTATTTGATAAGTTGGGAATGAATGAGGTTGTTGGCTAAGGGGCTAGCTAAGACCCAGGCTAAGTTGGCTAAGGGGCCCACTCAGTCTATCAGGCTTGTAGATGCTCCTGCATCAGACGGAAAATATAGATGCAGTATATGTAGCCAATGAGGTTGTAGAAGAAGCGAGGAAGAAGAAAAGCGGGGTTGTTTGCATGATAGATTATGAAAAAATAAAATGAATGTGTGGAGCTTTCTGGAATTATTTTTGGAAGTTGAATGTTTTCAAGAAAAAAATTGCCATTTGCTCACAGACACGCATGTATCAATTTTTGGCACTAAAGGGAAGCTTCTCCCCTACGTAATGTTTTTTTACCAAATCGCAATAGAATGTCGAAACTGTTTGAGACTTAATCCAACATATGTCACGACACTTTGCCCCAATGTGCCACTCGTAAAGGATTTTTGTCAAATAGTTTCTTACCTTGCTCAATAGAGCGTGTGAAAAAACTACAGACACAGACCCATTTGCTTATAATTGAGGAGTGCAAGAAGAAGAAGAAAAGAAAGAGAGAAAAGAAATATATATATATATATATTATAATTTTGGATTGATTTGACCATTATATCTCTGGATTTAACAGTTTTTTTCAGAGATGAATTATTTAAGAGCACTTATATTAACGTTAGGGACCATGAGTGATACAAAAAAAACTTTAAGGATGCAATCTGATAGTTTCGCAAATGTCATGGACTTTTTGTGATAAAAAGCCATTATATGAATCTGTAGATAACATCTGACTTTGTCTAACAGAACTAACTCCATAAATCATGAGCTAAATAAAGAAAGAATTGAACAATCCATTGAATCCTAAATCTCATTCATTCTTACAAATCATCAACAAATATTGCAATTTGACCAGTTTCTTGGGTTGCCTGCTTCACATGTCAATCCTTGATCTCTTGGAATCTCAAACTTTCCATTGCCATTAAAATATTTATGTTTTTCTTTATAGCTTTAACTTCAACACAAAAACATAAAGATTTTAATGGCAAGAGCATAAAGATTTTAAAGAAAATATCAAGTATATTGCCGATAACGAATCTATAAGTAAATACTAAATTAAGAACTCCATAAGCTAAATAAAGAAAAAATTGAACAATCCATTAAATCCTAAATCACATTCATACATACCATCACAATATACAAAACTACAGAGTCAATCAACAATTATCTCTCTCTTCGTGTTTCAGTTTGGCAGTAAACTTTCCAATATTTCTCCTTTAGATTATAGTTTTGCCATTAATCTAAACCTAGAGCTCCATAAATGTAAACCTAGAATCCATTAATTCTATTGTTAACATCATAATCAACCGAGTATATCCAGCCTCAAAACAACTATCACCAAGGCAGACACGCATTTTTCCCTGCCGAAGGAAGACACTCTTCCAAGGTGCCAAGCACCTGCCAAAACTCCCGACTACCAAAGCTCACAAACTGCCAAACTTAATCTCCATGACACGTGTCACCACACCACAGTGGCTTGCACAAAGTCCCACATCGGAAATCTACACAAACCTCCCACTTTCACTTCTCTATAAATAGGGAACAGTACCCTAGTAAAAAAGGGAACTACTTTCTTACCTTTTACTATTACTCTGCTAAAATTACTACTATTAGCTTACTTAAGTATCGGAGAGCCTTCGGCCGACACCACACCGGTGTCCGAAGCTTAACGACTGCTTCTCCTATTTTGTCTTTTGCAGGCTAGCTCTTATTGAAGGTCCACACCTTCTCCACTGTAGAAGACAAACCCCCTTTTCTCTAAGTTGACCCTCTCCGAAAAAGAGCATTAACATCTATAATAGCTAAAAAATTAAAGATCAGAGAAACTTACAAAATGTGATAAACTAGTCGAGATAGAGGTCCAAAGCAATTGATCCGAGAGAGAGAGAGAGTGATAGATTATGAGATGGACTGAAGCTTATATTGTAGTTTTTGCAGGGATTTAACAACACCGACGGTGCCGTTTCACTGTACGAGCCAGAGTGCTTGGTTCCAGAACACTCCCAAACAAAAATTGGAGGAAAAATTGTTGATACTTAAACTGCGCGTTTCACACAGAAATTTAAAAACAGCAACCGGTTTTTCTTTCTCTTGCATTTTTTAGTCTTTATCTTCTTTCTTTTTTAAATCTTAAATTCTTAAAAGTATTTCTTAAAAAAATTTATGTTTTATTATACTATTGAATTTGTGGGTCTCACATGCATGTCATGTAACATGAAAAAAATTACTAAACCTAATAATTTCTCAAACCTTATGGACGTTATTGTCATAAAAATCCCTTCATAAATTTGAAATTGAATAGTAATCATGATTTGCCATGTGGGCCAAAGTGGATAGCTCGAGATCCGATGAGTTAAAATTTAGTCTGATTCAATAGTTAAACCCTCTCGGTTCGGTCTAATGACAATCCCTAATATGTAGTACCTAATTATTGTATACCAATTATTTTTTACGTTGGTTTTTAAGTTATATAACTTTGCATAATTATTTGAAACTCCTAGATTGTGGTGGCAAGGGTAAATTTCAGTGTAATAATCACACACATTGTCATACGGTGTTATCAATCTAATAAAATTATAATACAAATATTTATTTATAAGTACTAAATTTTAGGTCTAATATCAATCATGGTGTCTACTTATATTTTAATACATGAACTAGTAATACCATATGACAGGTGACTGTAACACTCAATTAATTTACTAATGCCTGAGATCGTGGCTTTGAGCTTGATGCAACTTTTAATTCTCGCATTTTTCTCAAACCTTGCAAAACCAAAACACGGGCATTTTTTCTCTATCCGGCCATTTCATTTTCAATACATAAAATAAAAATGTCTGATAGTCATTCTCCTCTTTCTCCTCCTCTCTCTTCCTTTCTCAATCTCTCCTTCTCTTAGCTTGCTTCTCTCTTTGTGGGGAAAGCTTGACAGAATTGTGGAGAAGGTGGAGTTTAGGGGGTAGCGAGTTTAAATATGTACCCAGAACCACCTGGATCTTCGCGTCTCTAACCAGATTTGTTTGGATATTGGGTTTGTTGGGTTGTTTTTGGTGTTCTTACTGTAGGTACTAGTTTTGGATGTGACAGCGGCGGTAGCGGCGGCATCGATGACACTGACGGCGGCGGCTTTATGGGTCTTCTTTTGGGTCCGCCTTCTTTCAAGCCATAGTCATGGGCTTGGAGTGGCTGTTGTTAGGTTTAAGTTTTTGTTTTAGTACAATAAGTGCATCAACTTTGTTGAGTTTGATGCGTGGTTGTGGTTTCTCTTCGAGAGAATTTTGGTTTGTAAGTTGCGTTATGGGTGTTGTACTTGGTTATTACATATTTGAGATGATTAAGCCCGATTGTCTGTGGCTTTGTGTGGCATTGAGTTGGCTATGTGTGGCTTTAAGTGGAGGTGTGTACCATATAATTAAGTTTGATGATGCGCTTACATCCCTCCGTGTTTGGTGTAGCCCTCTAGCAGCTTTTGTTCTAGCCCTCAAGGCTTTTGTATTTGTACAGTGCTTATGTCGTAATTTATAAATGCAATTTCCCAAGTGTTTGGCAGAAAAAAATAGATAGAGGTTATAAAAATTAATTTCAATTTTAATCTTGATTATGAACCAGTTCATGCTAAAGGTGATAAGTAAACTTTAATTTTGACATGCAGATTCGCACTGCACTTGTACCCAGAGTGCCAAAGCTATAGTGATATAGCTAGCTAATTAGCTAATTATATTTTTGAAGCCTGAGTTTTGTTTTTTTGTTGTTTTTTTTCATTTCGTAACATATGTATTCTTTATAACATAAGATTAAAAAAAATTAATGTTCTTTCATTTGGTAACAGATGAAGCTTCAAATGATGAATAGTCTTTCACTTGTCTCCAAGAATTTGCACTTCGGTTGAAGACTTGGGCTTGGAAGAAATGCAGGAGGAGGATGTCTTTCTGTTGAAACATCAACTTTGATTTAATTTCTTAAGTTAATAAATCCATTGCATCTTTTATATTCAGGTGCCCTTTACCAACAGAAACCAACATGCCAACCAAACAAAAAAAATTAGGTAGGCGGGCAAAGCCCCAAGAAACAGACTACACACACTAGTCTAACAGACCAATCTGGAATGAACAATTCCAAGCAGATCATCAACAAAGGAGCTTCTACAATGATGAATTAAAGTGAGGAGGTTATTTGAGGAGACCGATCCGACCGTCAAAACATTTAAAATATTTAAGTCTCATGATTTCTTTACATTTGTTGATGGTGAGATTTGACCTCCTCAAATAACCTCCTCACTTTAAGCCCTCATTATAGCCTTTCCGCATCAACAAGATAAGCACTTAACCAACTTGGGGCCTGCTCAAACATGCACACAGCCCAAGATCCACTTGATAACTCCAATTAGCCAATCGGTCAGCAACAACATTCTTCTCACGAAAAACATGCTGAAGGGCACAACTGGGAAACTGCTGCATGAGGTCACAACAGCTCCTAACCGAAGCAGCAAGGGGCGCAGAGCAAGCATAGAAGAATTCTGACGGAGATTGACTGCAATAGCTGAGTCCATCTCAATAGTGAGACTACTGATGCCTTTCTCAATTGCTAACTTCAAACCAAAGAAAAGCCCCCATATCTCAGCCTCAAGAACTTAAATAACTAGAAGATAATAATTTAATCTTGATTTAATTGTACATACAAAGTGATGGAAATTGGAGGGTTTGACCAAGTCCAGGAGCCCAAAAACGACAGCCTACTCAAACAGTAATTTACAAGATCAGCCCCAAACTACATCCATCTACCGCTACCTGGCCACTACAAATTGCTACAAAGAAAAACTTAGGCCTAGTTTTGCAAACCCAATTGGTAAAACTCATCCACTGAACCTTTATCACTAGGCTTGGCTTGAGAAACTTGACAAAATTAAAGAATGCATGTAGTAGGTACATATTCATTCACCAAATCACCTTAAGCTAACACAAACTAACATACACGTTTCCTCCCATTTTTCTGGCTTACACTTCACGTATGCTGAAATCCCCAAGTTAAACAAACAGAAGAAAGGTTCTCTGGTTTTAGCTTTCACAAAAGTCTACACCAGCCAGACAAAGTCGTTTTCGCCCTAGTCACCAAGGCAGCAGAACAATAAAAAAGACCCAACTGCCTGTGTTCTGATGCTTACCTCTATGCCATGAGGGCTAATCTTTTATTTTAGTTTTATGTATGTCTTACTTCACTCTGCAACATCTACTTTCCATACTCCAGATGAGCCTGCACCTTGTACACCCCTTCCTCTAAGTCAAATGGAACAAAATGTCTTCTTCAATATTCCATTTCATGAGCCCCTTGCCAAGTCTTTACCACTGTATTCTCCGCCTCCAAAGGATGCAGCTGCAGCGGCTACATCGAGGCCTCCACCGATAGATGTAATTAGGGCTGACAAGCCTCCACTGGGGCTATTACCAGCGGCCATTCCTAATCCCAAAAGATCGAGTGTGGTTTGCTTAGGCCCGAACATGGAAGGACTTCCCATCATTAGTTCCTTCCATCCTGAACCTCCATCACAAGGAAGAGCAAGTCCAAGCCCTGCAGCAACTGAGGCACTATCTGGTTCTGCTTGCCGCTGACTCCATTGCAAACTCTCTTGTTGTGCAGAAGATGATGAGGAAGACATAATGCCAAACCCACGAAGCAACGATGCATTAGTTGCTGCTGCTCCCATTTGAGCAGCTTTCTGAAGCAGTGCTGTAGCTGACATAGCTGGTTGTGGTGGAGGCGCATACTGCCTACGCTCCTGTCCTGCAGGCCCAAAAAGTGAGGATCCATGGCTGGTTGAGAGGCCAAGAGAGATAGGTTCTACGGAAGAAGATGGTGCTAAGTCAGTTGTACTATCTGGATTCCCCATGACTTGAACTAAGTCAGTAAATGCAGGAGGTTGAAGAGGTTGCAAGCTTGCTGATGCTGTTGAGGAAGCAAATAAACTTGCAAAAACACTACTGCTTGTACTACCATTGCTGCTTGAGCTGTTGCTGCTGCTACAGTTCCCCTTCGGACCAGTCACAGCTGGTGCTTCTTCCATAGTTTGTGTGGGATTTTCAGCCAATTCTGTCACTACAACCAAAGGAGAAAAGATAAAAAAATTAAAGGGGTCACACTTAAACACACAGAACATGCAGGAATAGAAAGTTAGGCCTTTCTTTATGAAGGACTTTTGAAGGAAAAGGAGGATCAATAATGGTTTCCTTTCTCTTAACCCACTTACTCTTCCCTTTTAGCTTTTGAATCACTAGTCTCTTTATTGAGATTACGCAGTCTGAAAACTAAAACTTTAATATTAACCTCTAAGAAGCTTATTTTTATTCATTTGTTAATTAAATTCCAAAAATCTCTGTTCAGTTACCATTCTGTGATACACACCCAGCTGAAAACAAATTTCATAACAGACAAAAACTACTACACTCCAAGATCCATGGCATGAGAGAGAGAGACACACACAAACAAAACAAAGATAACTAAGTTTTGTTGTTTATACAGACAAAAACACATCCGACAAAACCCAACTGAAAAGATTGACAATTTTCCAATTTGGGACATATTTACCTGGATTTTGTGTACTAGGCATAGGTGAAGATAATAAACCAGCTGACTGAGATGGGACTGATGAAGTTGTAGCTTGGGAAGGAACTGGTGGCTGTGGCGTTGGCTGTGGAGGTGAATTAGCACTTTGAGCTTTTGGGTCTGATTCTGAATTCAAATTCACTTCCGTTTGAGTCTGGGTTGGAGTTTGGGTATGGCCTCTGGCGCTCTCCTCAGCCAAAGCATCACAGAAGGCCCTATGTGTTATGAAGCTATCCCTCCTTCAAAGACCAAAAACACAACAACTTTACCAACTTAAAACCCAACAAGTTAAGCTCAAAAACATAAAAAATTTCAGATAAAAATCGAAGCTTTTATGAACCTTGAAAACAAAGTCCCACAATCGCATTTGTACTCTCTGGTACCACAAATCTTGGAATGGGCTTTCCAATCCGACTGAACCGCATATTTCTTGGAACACTTATCGCATTTCCACTTCTTCTCGCCGTGCTTTCTGCAAAAGTGCTTCTTTATCCCAGTGAGATCACCCAAAGCTCTTGATGGGTCATGGTGCACACAAGAGGGCTCTGGGCAGACATAGACTCTCTTCTTCACCTCTTTACTTGACCTCTGCCTCAGCTTCCATGGCAGATTATGACCACGCCTATGAAGCTGCAGATTCTGATCCCTCTGAAACCCTTTGTTGCAAATTTCACAAACGAAACGGTTTGTGGCCAATAGGGTCTTGGGAGACAGAGCAATCACCTCTGCATCTGGATCTGTAACAAAACCCAAAAGTCAAATTTCACCAAATCAGACAAAGATTATGAACATCAGTGTAAAAAACAAATTTGGGGAATTTTCTTTTTGAGCTTGGTGGTGGGTTTGGGAGGAGCAGGTTGGTTGCCAGAGGAAGAAACGCTAGCTTCACCCGAAGCTGTAGATGAATTATCCAGGTCGGTCGGCATCAGAACTAAGAATTTCTCTCTTGGGTTTTCCTTTTTTTTGAACTCAATCTACAGGACAAAAAGCAAAAAATCTACTATTGGGTTTTCATCTTAGAACTCCAAAGAAGCCTTGTAGGTACGAAGTTTTCATTTTCTAGGGTTCAGTTTCATCTCTTTCTCTCATCTACCGGTCAAGGTCCCCCCCCTTTTTTTTTCTCTATGCCCACCTACCAGCTCTGTCTGATGGATCTCTGACCAAAGTATACATTACCCCAGAAACACAATGATTAAACCCAAGGGAGTAAAATAAAAGCTTCTCACTCAACCCAGAGATTAATAGAAAAAACCCCAAAAATTACAACCACCGAGAAAGATACTCTGATCCAACAGTCAAAATTTGATCTAAAACGTTCAAAATCAAAAAAACTCAGCTAACTTGTAGTTATTTCTTAACTACTTCACTACTCTCAAAACAACCCGATTGAGCTTTCGTCTAAATAGAACTCAGAACAGAAAAGGCAGGGTTTTATAAAGCCTCCCAAGAACAGAGTGAGATTAAGATTCTGTGAATAAGGAGAAGAAATAGAATAAGCTTGTGACTTGTGTGAGAGACGGAGAGAGAGAGAGAGAGAGAGAGAGTCTGAAGCCAAAGACTTTCCTCTGCTTTTCTCACTGACTTTTCAGGAGAGAGAGAAACTGAGAAAAGTGATCAATTAAAAAATTAGATGTTTAATCGAGATTAATTAGTGGCAAGCAGGGGATTAACCTGAGCTGGCCATGACTTGTTGTTCAAGCTTCTAATTACGGACACGGAGGTTATTACAGTCCACCTGTCGAGTCTTTGGGTGTTGTTGTCGGAAGAGAAAAAAGTGGTACCAAATACGATGGGTTTGTCGTTTAGTGGAGTGTTTGAATGCGTTTTGGGCTACCAAAGGACAATCTTAATGGTCGACGACCGGTGCTTTAAATTCACAAAAGTCAAACTACTTTTTTCTTGATTGGAGATTTTTGTGTTCTGACCCATTCTGATCTGGACACGTTGTGAGGTTTCCTTGGATTCACCACGTTCAATTACTGCTCTCTTTTTTTATTTACATGCTGTTTTTACTCGCTTAAATGAGTTGTGGTTTTACACGTAGGATTCAAAGTGAGGACGTGGCTTGACCTTTAAAATTTTGTCCCTAAGAATTTAACTTGTAAGCTTATTTTAAGTCATAAAAAAACACTTAAAACGTATTATTTGTGTGATTTTATTTGCCAATTCATTTCACACAGAAAGAGAGAGAGAGAGAGAGAGAGTATGGTACTTAGTTAGAATGCATGAAGACAAGGAAGGTAACAAGAGGACACAAAGCATTCGACTACAAGAGGACAAGTGAATTAATTAAGATAGAATATAAGTCGTCTTGATCTCCACCAAAATCAAAGGAAGTAGTCTTTGAATTGATCGATGGAAAATATGTGTGTGCGCGCCATGTGAAGTAGGTTATAATTTATGATTATAGGATAGGGTCTTCCGCCTTCCAAAGAATATATTATTCTTCTTATTTTTGTCTGCATTCACTTGTAATAAGTCATTTCATACGATTTATCTTTGTATTTTTTTACGATTCACGCTCTTTCTGTCCACATTTCCACGAACACGTTCCCAATGATCTCATGAACATTTGAGTGGAGACTAAGGAGGATACGCTTAAATAATTGTCTGATATTTTCAATTTCGTGTACCCTTTTTCAAGTGATGGATGATCGGTCATGGTGGTCCAAACTCAAAAGAAGAAAACCATTTTTGTGAAATTAAAAGTAATGGCTTCTGATCCTTCCACGTGGGGTTTTCCTATTACTGTGAAGCAAAATTCATCTATTGTTGGATTGTTCATGCACCAAATAGAACGTAAGATGAGTTTAGATTATTATGAAATAGGTTAATTTTATAATATAGATCATAACGCCGCAAATAATAAATCAGAATTTGAACTAGAAAACAATGTGCTCGCCTCTTGTTTGTGAACTTATTTGGGTCATCGGTCTCCAAATGCACGTGCCTTTTGCAAAACATATTAATCACACAACTATCACACTTGTTGAGAAAAGTCAGTTCTAAAAGGTTTTTACTTAATCGTAAGATAATAAAATAAGGGGTTTTGCTTAATGTATAAGTTCTATTTTTTTGGATAACAAAGGAAGGATCAAAATCCCAAAGCAAAACTTGAAAGGTGTTTACATAATGCGCATAAGCTTTATGAAGCTTATATAAGTGGATTTAAAGGGTAAAGCATGAAATTAAAATGTAGTTACTTTATAAAAACGATGTTGCTTACTTTATGGTTATCTTTGAATAAATCCCAAAGTCTTTCTTTGTCTTTTGAATTCGACAAGTATCTGAGGCTTGTCCAAGGGTTCATAACATTAAAATAAACAAGTAATAATCCTCCCAAAAGCCATTATTTATCTCAACTAATAAAACGTACCACGTTTGTGTCGATAAATTAGCAAAATAAAGTATGCACGGATTTTCTATTAAACTAACTTAAGCTCCAATTTTTCGTCATGTGAACATTTGTTAATTTATAGTTCCAAATTATAATTTTAACCTATAAAATGATGCAATAGAACTTGACTATTCAAACGAAAACTACATATATGAGATTAACCAAATTGACTAGAGTAGATGTGCTCCTCGCTCAGCACTCGAATTTGAATCCCCCTTATTATAATTTAGATTATATTAAAGTAAATTATTGTTTGTATAAAAAATAAAACTAAAACTAAAACTAAATGTAGAAACTATATTACTAAAATATGTAGGTGAATTGGGGTATGTTAATTTTAGGTTTTTTTCCCTTATCTCTGTTGACTTTTTTGCTCAAGGAGTGTGACTAAAAGTGTTTGATAAAATGTCACAAAGAGCCTTGCAGCAATATTTCCTAATTTACTGTTGAAAAATTTGTCATCTTTAGAGCGAGCCAGCTAAAGCCCAATCAGAAAAGCATTTGTACGCTTAACGTGCACGCATGTGGCTTTGACAAAATTGATCCCTACGTACTATTACATGCTTTTGAAACATGTAGTACGTGGGGAAAAAAATACCATATAAAGTAGTATTATTTCAGGTTTAAATTTCTGTTTAACACAAGCAAAAGACAATTAGGCTGAGCTAAGAAATAAATACAAACCAAAAGCCCGGCAAGTTTTCTATGCAGACTCTACCGTCCACTTCACCTGCATTGACTTGGAATGCATTTCTTTTTTCAATTAGGCATTGTGTGGGGCCCTTTGGATGGATTTCCACCCAGTTTAGAGACGGCAATGACCAATCACATTCTCAATTTGATATCAAATTGAGATTAAGATTTTAATTAAGTAGGCAAGAAATTGAAAATAGACAGGCTTAGTCAGATTAGCAACTTCCAAATTTGAAAACTCACCGCAGGCATTAGACTCATCATCTGTCTATATTTTTATGCTAATATTATCGTTTATGATTAGGACGACGTTGATTTCGAGTTTGGATTATGTTTAGGTCAAAAACTAATTAGATCATGAAGATTTTAACTACCAAAATACAGGCTAAGCTTAAACAAAACTCTTGTGAACCATGAGACGATTTTAAATTGTGATCATGACATGAACGAACGACCCTACTGGTGCTTTTGCTTTTGTCCACATGTAGCTTCTGTCCCTCAACTTGGTGACAATTGCTACCTTGAAAACACAGGTGCTATTAAATTTAGTTAGGGTCCATCTTCTGGTATATTGGTGCAAATCTGAGTTTCGGGACAGGATTTGCAGGTAAAATAATCAATCTATTGGCCATGCTGCAATGAATGTTTTCACGATATTGATAACATCAAATAATTATTATGTTACTGCAAAATATCTGAAATCCACATATAATTGAGATCAAAATAGTACGTATCCACTTTGTTTAATATGTAAACGATGAAAGTTGGGACCTATTTCATGATAAAAGTATAATTAACATTAATATATACATATACGTAATGAGCATCAATTGAGGGACATCCCTTTAGAGTCCACCACATATTGTTTTTCAATAATTCTAACCGTTTTATATATTTCCTTCAAAGATCATATATCCAAAAAATTACTTTCCGAAATCACTTGACCACTTAATTAGATGATTGTTATTTTAGTCTTTTCTTGAAGTACTATGTTCGTCTATTTTGTTGCTTACAATTAGATGTCTTAATGATTTTCAATTTTTCAGATTTTTTTACAAAAATGATCTTTGTATAAAGACTTGAAAAATACAGAGTTCAGATTGAATTTTTATTTTTATTTTATAATTATCAATGGAAGAGGACTGCATGTATATACACATATAGACATTAACTTTATTTTAAACTGAGGGCATGAGATCTTAATTTTTTGGGCATTAGTTATTCAACGTATATTTATCAATTCAAAGACTGCCGTGCATGATTTTTCTTTTGCTACTACATGAGATTGACACAATTCTTTGCCTTCGGATTAAAAACCGACACAAACGTGACAATTTGTGCAGCCCAATACAAGGCTCATTGATGCATCTTAAAAGTTATATATGTGCATATGCATGCCCACACACAAAAAAGGAAAGAAAAAGTGTGGCTTTTTCCTCATTAAAAAGGAGCAAAAGCTTTGCGAAAGTTCAAACGGGCTCTCGATTATAAATTGTAAAACAGATATTCAATGGAATGGATCAGTTTTTTTATCTTCCCATGCATGTCGATGGACCATGCATGATGCATGTGCTTTTCACAAACCTCTCTTCTAATTTCTTCCCTCTCTTGTTCCTTTCATGATGTAGCTTGCCAGGTCAGCTGTGCATAATGGAAAACTACAAGTCATTGACTAATTAAATACCAATTTCCTTCCATGTATTTTTTTTGGTTTGAAAGAGAGATGGGAAAGGTGGATGTATATCTCAAACTTTTCTAATAGGTTCCCGTCTTCATTGACGCCTTCACTTAAAAGAAAACGAAATAAAAGGTGATTGATTCCTTCTCCTCTCTTTTGCAATTGCGATAGGGACAACTGACAAGAGTGGTGGCCGGTGGCCACAGTTTCTATCCATCACCCCCACCCCATCACACCAAAAAGAAAGAACCCCTAGAAAGAGTCATGATGTTGTACTTGTATCCATATAATAAAATCAAAATGCAAGAATGAATTAATGTTACATTACATGGTTAGATTGTAGTTCTCTGTCTATGTACACGTTAGATCTTGAATTGTTTATCGCAAACAATAATATAGAGTGTGAAAGTGACGAGACTAATTAGCCTATGAATAATTATTTTAGGCAAATTTAGAATAGTAATCGATTTGTATTTGAGTCGAGACTATGATGTCTTGGGTTTTCATCGACACGTCTAACACAAAATTAGAATAACTTCTAATAAATGTACATGTCATTTTAGGCAGCCAATTAGCATTTAACTGTCTCACCATATCATGCTTGTGCATGGATATGATATATGAGATGTGAAGTGTTCAAAGAACACACATTACACACCAATTTTCTTGCCAAGTAATTTGGTGTATTATGTTATTAGATTGTGAGTAGATATATATATATATATTGTTTTCTTATGAAC